AAAAAAAAAAGAGTGGGCTCCAACATGACAGAGTCTTGAGAATGTCACAGGATGGGTCATGGTTCTGATCTGTTGTTCATAGGGTTGCTATGAGTTGTAGTCATTTCGATGGGATCTAATAATAGTAAAATACCCCACTACCAACCACGAAGTTGTTTTTTACTTATAATGACTCTCTATATGGTACCTTTATTGGAGGATATTGTCCATCTTTCACCTGCACACACACTGTAATAAGTAAAGGCAAAGAGAGGATGTGATCATATATTATTACATGATAGGGTAAGATAAACAGGAATTTATTCACAAAAACCTATAATTAAACCATCCTTAAAGGTTTTTTTTTAAAGTACAGGCCAAAGACCTTCAGTGAGATGGATTGAGATCATGACTATAACAATGGCTTGAGCTTGCCAGAGACTGTGATCATGGCACGAGATAGATCTGTTGTTCAAAGGGTCATTGCTGTGAATCGAGGTGGGCTGGACGGCACCTAACCTAATAGGAATACTGGGAAGGCTGAATGGTTTACTTTTTTGAGAACACTTTAACATCTCTCAAATGTGTAATGTTTATGGTTTGAATTAGCAGTTATATTTCTGGGAAATTACCTAAAGAAATACAAGTGATAAAAAACTTAGAAATACTAAAAATTAGGGAAAAACCACAGATAACATCAGCAGGACATTGTGATAATACCCCTTGATTAGCATTATGTTGTTATGATAACAAAATACCTTATATTTAGCACATTAAACACATTTATTATCTTGCAGTTCTGTAGGCCAGACATTCCACACCAGGCTGAAAGCCAGGTGCTAGCAAGAGTGTTCTTTCCAGCTATAATGTAATGTCATGAATTGGCTACAACTCATAACAACCCTATGAACAACAGATCAGAATCCTTTTCTTTGTGTTTTTGGGTTTGGGCAGAATTTAGTTCTATGATATTATAAAAATGAGATTTCCTTTCTGGTTGTCATCTGAAAGTTCCTCTCAACTTCTAGAGACCAACAGCATTCTTTGGCTTGTAGACCCTTCCTTCTTCCATTTTCTCTCTCTCTCTCTGGTTCAGGTTTTTTAAAGATTCAAGATTAGATTGAGCACATCAGATCTCTCCTGTCGCAAGAGCCAGCCCTTGGTCATATCAGTAGAGCTTTGTTATGCCTAATAAATAACATTCACAAATTCTGAGGACTTGGGGAACCATTATTCTGCCTACCAATCCATATCATTGCATGCTTTGCAAAATGAGCTCAATTTATATACGGAAATGCAAAGTTCTCTAGGGTTTGCTAAGTTTAAAAGCAACTTGTAACTATATATATATAT